TAAAAAACAAAATAGCTAGGAGACCTACCAGTTTGGTCTTGATGAGAAATGAGTAGGAAGTGCATGAGTTTTATATTCCTCTAGGGTTTTATTTGTTTGTATAAAACTAGATTGATATACTGAAATGAAATGGTGTGTTAGAAGGAAATGAAGAATTTGCATGGTTACAAATGACGGAAAATGTGCTGCATTCAAATGAATTATGTCTAGTGTGTGTGTGTGTGTGTGAGTGTTCTGATGAGTATTTCATTTCTCCAGGGCTATACAATTATTGACTTATAGATAAAATTTCAAATACAGCACCTGTGATGATTATAGACAATTTTAATGATCCAAGCAGAAAGTTCTCTATTTTGGCAAAGCCTATTGATGATATCCAACATACTATTCAAGTTACATATACAGTTGCGAATTTGGCATGATGACATTGTAATTTTTTTCTCCAATAATTGCCCACATGTAATGCTAATACCAGCACAAAATTTATATGGCAGTTAGTATACATGCACTTAAAAAAAAAAACTAGACGGATTAAAAATATTTTTATGGTGTTATATGATGAATAAAAATCTGCATAAGAAGGGCTTGATATCAGGAGCCATCTATGCAAAGTAGAAATGTGACAAGGATAAGGGGGATTTATGTTAATTATATTTTCATGTAATAAAGAATGTCAGGTGTTAGATAAGTGCTGTATCCAGTTCCTTTGATAACCTTAAATGACCTCCTCAGATAAAAATTTTCAACCATTGGGGTTATTTAATAATTAAGCCTCATACGGAGAATGATGAGTAGTGATGCTTGTAAATTTGAAATTTGTGTTTGCTACAAAAATTGCTTATAAGCCTACTCCTTTATATGGATTAATAAATTGGATAGGGTATTTCTCAAAAATACATTTTACACTAAGACTAAATTGTTTATAAATAGGATTGACTAATCATATCTCATGAGAAATCCTGCATTCAGAGATGTTACAAATGTGGACTAGATCTTTACTTGGAAATTTGTTGAATTTATGTGTTGCTTGCAAAAAAAGAGTGACACTTGGGGACCAGTCTTTATCTACTCTCTGTAAGTCTGATTATGCATATGTATTCTACAGCTTATATCTTTTGAAAAAAAACAACAAACAAACAAACATTTTTTTGTGAAACTCGGATTATGCTTCTTGATCCTCCTACAGTTTTGGCCCATTTCAGTTAAACATGGTGTTGTGATAAATATATTAAAGTATGATACATAATTCAATACTCACTTTTTATTTTGGTGAATTTATTGTGTTGCCATAATCACATTTTTTTTTTATTCTAAAATGCTACTCTTCCTGCAGTTTTGATCTGATTTCAGTAAAACTTGATACATAAGTAAACTTTACTAATAATTTTCATAATTTCAACAAATGGTTTTTCCCCAAATATTAAATATATAGTAATTTCTAATAAATAGTACATAATAAACACTATCCCTCCTAGGGATTTATTCTGATTTGATAAAACTTGGAACACAAGTATACTGCACCATATAATGGTACACACTAAAATTTTTATAAAAAACTAAAAAAAAAAGTGGTTAATAAAAAAAAAAGAATAATGTGAAAAATCTTGGAAAACCTTATATATTGTACAGTTTTGATTTCAATGAAACACTATACAAAAGTATGCTAAACATAGATACAGATGTTGCCATAGTTACTTGATTAAGAAAGAATAAGTATATCAGAAAATCTTTATAAACTGAAACTCACAATTTGCATATATCATACATTTGCATACAATGCACAGTTCCAAACCATTTTCATTTTAAACATCTTGATTTCTAAATTATTTCATCTCAACAAACATTTTTTGAAGCGATGTTTCATAATCCCAGTGCTAGGTGCCTAACCTTTTTTAAGTACATATGAACCAGTAGAGCTACAGTCTCTTCAGAGATTTCTGGTTAGACATTAGTAGAGATCTAGATTATTCGTTTATGAAGGTTATTGGCTTTTTATGTAATTAAGGAGTAAAGAAGGGCTTTGTTTTGACTTGTAATTCTGAAGTATATAAATATATATGGCTTTTGCTAAATTGTCAAAAAAAATCTGTGTGGGTGATGAAAATCTCTGCCAGGACTGATTGAGTGAGGAGGCATCTTTATGGAAATAGGATGTAATTTTGTATCAGATGCACATTTTTGTTTGGCATTGCAGTACTGAAGCAGTGACTGGGGCCAGAGTGGTCTGAGATAAAGCTATCTTTTCCCTAGTACATTTCCAAATAAATATAGATTTTTGTCATTACAAAAGTCGGTGAAACCTTATTGCATGAATCTATGTAGTCTTCTCTTTGGACTAGAATTGGGATCAAGGTCGCTTAAGTATACAAACTGCTCTGAATTTTTTTATAACTTAGTCTAGTTATTTTCAACCACAACCTGTAATACCTATAAGTCCAACATTATAACACCAATATAAGGATTAGATGACCTTCTTGTAATTTTTTTTCCTTTAAATGTCAACATAAAAAATGTATTGAATGGGTTTTTTTATGTTTTATATATACCATGACTTGGCCTAGATCCAGAGTGACATTTGACAATTTAAAAAAGAAATTAAATTTTCTAATATTTTAACTGGATTTGGATCAACAATTATGAAATAAACTTCGACTTACAAAAAATTCATAGAAATATATTATTCCTTTGTAGAACCTAGCTTAGGTGGACCTATACTAATACTGTACTAAAAATTTTATTGCAACTCAGAAAAAAATTCTGATTATTTTAGAATAATTGCTACTGATGTGAGTATACCATAATAAATTAGCTTCCATATAAAAATCCTGAAACATTGACATGTCTGATCAACAGTGGTGAATTATTTTTGTATCCCCTGGGGAATATTTCAGAATCTTTCATTTAGTAGACATTTTTCATACCAAGATGAACCTATTTTGTTTACATTCTAAGTTAAACTATATAAATAGGTTTCAAAAGTGTGATGTATAACTTTTTGCATTCAAGTGCTTATGAAACTCAGTCTATGATTTTAATTCAAACATGACTGTTTAAATTAAAACTATAAGCAAGAAATCTTTGAAAAAATACTCACTTTTACCGAATATATTATTATGTTTATTTAATAAGACTTGTTGAAAACTTCAAGTAAATTCAGCTTTACAAATTCTGAAATATATGGTATTAAAATAAATTGTGTTTGAAGGTTTCCTTGTACTTTAAATGAGAAGTGGGGTTGGCTAAACCAATTAACTTGGTTAATCATTTGTTAACATATATTAGGTTCACTAAATTTACCTATGAAAAGAATCTGTCCATTGGTTAAATCTGTTATGTTAAATTCTTTAATTTGACTATTTTTTCTTCTTTGTCAGGAATATATTTATCATGAATAATTTCCAGGAAAAAGAATGCAGTCATTAGTTGTAGATTTGATCAACCATTTTCAAAATATAAACATGCAGCTATATTATGGTGACAGGTGGAAAAATTATCAAACTGAAAAGGAATTCTGAAAAATGCAAAAGAAAAAAGAATCTTCTGTCACGGAACATTTCAGGTTAAACATTATAGATGAAATAATTTGATTCATTTAATAATAATTTAATTTTGTTTGTATTCTAGCCTCTGATTGGTTAATATCCAAAAAGGAACACAAATTATTTCTGTATAACCTGGTTTGGTATGGGGACACACCCCCCTGACAACCAGCTGAATCGTCTGTATCCATGCAATCCTCTCATTTCCAGTCCTCGGGATTCATGGAAAATTCCAGATTTAATAAATGTACCTTTAACTTCAAACAGTAACTCGGATCTTACCACATGTAAACAAAAAACATGGCTGCTAGGACTATGTATCAGTTTTTACCTCCCCTCACTTCCCATCACTTCCGTTACTAGGGTTGTATTATTGAGCGGCAAATTTGAACTAATAAAAAGCAACGAAATTTTACACCCACAGTTGTTTAATGATTTTAGAATTAAATTATAAGGAATGACTCTAATTCTTGGCCAAATTATTCGAGGATAACCTGGTTTGGGTCAGTTTACACTGTTTTATAATCCGCTTCGCGGATTATAAAGCGTAAACTGACCCAAACCAGGTTATCCTCGAATAATTTGGCCAAGAATTAGAGTCATTCCTAAATTGGAGAATTGATATACTTGCTTAAATGTACGTAATACATATACACACATACATGCAAGCTTAAGCATAGAACTGTTAAGCATTGTAACCAGTGTAAGCATAGAACTAGGAATTAAAAACTGATGATTTCTTTCTCTCAAAGACAAGTTATTTAATGGGATTTTAAGCCAATTAACTTCATTTAAGGTATTTATGTATAATTTATATTCTTGCATAATTCAAAAAAATCCTCATTTTGGTTCATTATAAAAAAGTTTTCCTATTTTTCCATGTGAATTAGTGAAAGATTAAAACTTATTATTTAGAAAAGAGGAGTTTTGAATATCATTGTATGATTCAACTGTGAAACGGAGAAGAATGAAAGGGTTGTCTGTCGAACTTATCCTCAAAAGATTTTCACCACACAAAAAAGTGCCAACCCAGGACTCTATTGTTTGTAAAGAACGAGAAGGCACGAATAACAAACGTTTGGTGTCTCGAATGACACGTAGGATTTTGTTTGACTGGGGGTATTTGGGGTTTACAGATCCTTGACAGGACAACTTTCTATACCCTGATCATTTATTGCTTTTATTCTGCACTTATCACATAGCAGGACTTGGGAGTTCTATCTAAAATACTTCATAGTCGTGAGGAAAACTTTTTTATTCTACGCTGCAAAAAGTTGAATATCTGAAGATAGGGTTACTTCTGGAAAATGTGTTTCATATTATAAAAAAGGAGAAATCTTGATACCTTATACCCTAGAATCCTGAGTGCAAAGAGGCACACATTCAGAATTTTGATTTTTTATGAATGGATGCCTGTCTGATATGATATTTTTTATGTGAACATTGAAATTTAAATTTCAGTTTCTAAGGGGCTATCTGGATTATGCCTCATCCTGTCATGAGGTAAGTTTATAGGCAGGAAATATCATTGTGGGGTTATAAGGATATGTTGTAGATGACCGTGTGCATGCTATATAAAAACCCCTCCCTGCTTTCTACTCCTCCTCATTCTGGACTTTTGATGGGTACCCGGTGCTTTGAATTTGAGGTGTAGGTCTAAGCATAAACTTTGAATTCTAAGTTCACTTTTTGAAAACTAATACAGACTTTACAATTCCATAAATATGATCCATAGATATACTATTTTCTGCAAGTTTTGAAGAGAAATCAAACATGATTTAATTTTTTTCCCTGTTTATATATGACATAATTATTGGTTTCAAAATTCCTGATTTATTGAAGATGATATCCTAGTTCAGCAATATAATTACATGTCTTTAACTTCCTGGCACACTTTGACCAAATTTTCTATTTTGAGGATACAAGGACATTGCTAGCAGCTCAAAGGTCAGATTTGTATTCTGTCAGTTTATGTCCAAATGTTAAATGAAAAAAAAAAAACAACCTACAATAAAATGTACACAGATATAACTAAGACACTTTGATAAAGTATGCAATAAAACATGGAAGTTTTTCTTGTATATTCATTAATAGCTAAGTGGTTGAATTACGTCCCTTGAACTTTGTCATTTATTTTTTCAGACTTTGTACAATATAAAGATATGTCATTAATGCATTTTTTTTTTTTGATAAAAAAAAGTAAGAGTTTTTAACTCATAAGCATTCTTGCAATTACTAATACATGTAGTTAAAAAAAATTGCAATGAAGAGAAAATTTCATTCTAACAAGGTAAGCTAACCTTTTAGAATTTTCCTCTATTCTAATGCAGTTACTATATTCTAGGTGTTGTAATTATATGTATTTATCCCAAGCAAGTAAAATAAATTGCATAATGGGAGATTTTTACATCAGCTATGTTGCATCCTTGGGCAAAACAGAAAATAGGATGTGGTAATGCTCCCTAGATATTAATATTTAAGCTGTCGCTGGAAATAGCTAGGTCACAGAAATTCCACGATCGTTTTTCTTCTTCTTCATAAAATGTTTAAGACTTATGCTAAGTACATGTTCTTATCTTGTTTGTCAGTTGTTTAGTTCTTATTCAACTTGAGGCAAGGACAGTCAATGTAACACAGCACTTTGAGGTGAAAGTTGCGGGTCCTTTGGATGAGACCTTAAAAACTGAGGTCCCGTGTCACGGTAGGCACTGGAACGATTAAGAACCCTCACTGTTCAATGGCCCTGAGTGCCGAGTAAAGGAAATTTGAAGCCCTTCACCGGTATATGGTGACGTCTCTATAAGAGTGAAAAATTCTCGAATGGGATGTAAAACAGCATACAATCAATCACTATTAATTTTAAAATTTTACTGTTGTAATGATCTTTGATATATAACAAAAAATTATGGATATAGTAAACTAATTTTTTTATTCCATAGACTGAGGTTAAAAAATAACAAAATTTACATTTTTTAAAGCAAATTTTTAGGTCTCAAATTAGGAAATATTGAACTGTATTTTTTTTTTTTTTTTTTTTTTAAAAAGTATTTATACTGGTATTTTGAAATTCAATTCATCAGAAAATTTTTAGCTCATCTGAGCTGAAAGCTCAAGTGAGCTTTTCTGATCACATTTTGTCCGGCGTCCATCTGTCCGTCCGTCCGTCTGTCTGTCCATCTGTCTGTCTGTAAACTTTTCACATTTTCGACTTCTTCTCAAGAACCACTGGGCCAATTTCAACCAAACTTGCCACAAAGTATCCTTGGGTAAAGGGGATTCAAGTTTGTTCAAATGAAGGGCCACGCCCTCTTTCAAGGGGAGATGATTAGGAATTACTGAAAAAATAATGGTATCATTTAAAAATCTTCTTCTCAAGAACCATAGGGCCAGGAAAGATGAAACTCATGTGGAAGCATCCTCAGGTAGTGTAGATTCAAGTTTGTTCAAATCATGACCCCCGGGGGTAGGGTGGGGCCACAATGGAGGATCAAAGTTTTACATAGAAATATATAGGGAAAATCTTTAAAAATCTTCTTCTCAAGAACAGCAAAGCCATGATGAGTCATATTTATATGGAAGCATTCTCAGGTAGTGTAGATTCAAGTTTGTTCAAATCATGACCCCCGGGGGAAGGGCGGGGCAGCAATGGAGGATCAAAGTTTTACATAGAAATATATAGGAAAAATCTTTAAAAATCTTCTTCTCAAGAACAGCAAAGCCATGATAAGTCAAATTCATGTGGAAGCATCCTCAGGTAGTGTAGATTCAAATTTGTTCAAATCATGACCCCCTTCGTAGGGTGGGGCCACAATGGAGGATCAAAGTTTTACTTAGAAATATATAGGAAAAATCTTTAAAAATTTTCTTCTCAAGAACAGCAAAGCTATGATGAGTCATATTTACATGGAAGCATCATCAGGTAGTGTAGATTCAAGTTTGTTCAAACCATGAGCCCCCGGGGGTAGGGCGGGGCCACAATGGAGGATCAAAGTTTTACATAGAAATATATAGGAAAAATCTTTAAAAATTTTCTTTTCAAGAACAGCAAAGCTATGATGAGTCATATTTTCATGGAAGCATCATCAGGTAGTGTAGATTCAAGTTTGTTCAAACCATGAGCCCCGGGGGTAGGGCGGGGCCACAATGGAGGATCAAAGTTTTACATAGAAATATATAGGAAAAATCTTTAAAAATCTTCTTCTCAAGAACAGCAAAGCCATGATGAGTCAAATTCATGTGGTAGCATCCTCAGGTAGTGTAGATTCAATTTGTTCAAATCATGACCCCTGGGGGTAGGGCGGGGCCACAATGGAGGATCAAAGTTTTACATAGAAATATATAGGAAAAATCTTTAAAATTTTCTTCTCAAGAACAGCAAAGCTATGATGAGTCATATTTACATGGAAGCATCCTCAGGTAGTGTAGATTCAAGTTTGTTCAAATCATGACCCCCAGGGGTAGGGCGGGGACGCAGTGGAAGATCAAAGTTCTGCATAGAAATATAAAGGAAAATATCTGAAGAAGAAGAACTGCAAACCATGATTAGTCATTTTGATATGGAAGCATCCTCAGGTAGTGTAGATTCTATTTTGTTCAAATGATGACCCTCAGGGGTAGGGTGGGGCCCAATGGGGGATGGAAAGTTTTACATAAGAACATATAGAAGAAATATTTCTTCTCAAGAACAGAAAAACTATGTATAGTCATATTGATATGGAAGCATCCTCAGGTAGTGTAGATTCAAGTTTGTTCAAATGATGACTCCTGGGATAAGGAGGAGCCACAATGGGGGATCAAATTTTTACAAAGGAATATGTGGGAAATTTTTTTAAAATCCTCTCAAGTACAACAAAGCCATTTGTTACATTGACATAGATGCATCATCAGGTAGTTTAAAATTCAAGCCCCCCCCCCCCCCCTCCCCGGGTCTTTTCAATACTGAACTGATTTGTGCTTTTGCCTAGCCAATGTGCTCAGGTGAGCGATGTGGCCCATGGGACTCTTGTTGTATTTAATACTTCCCTGAACATGTTTGGAAGTCATACTTAATGGAAAACTTGTATTGAGAATTAGGTATGCACAGAACTTTAATGAATTTGTTATACAGATCGATATAATTAATTATATATATATTGAAGTAAATTCACAGGTCCAAAGGACTTCACCAAGTTTTACAGTATAAATTTTTTTGATATTTTGTTTTTTATGAGATAACATCCGATGAATATAGGGATTTTGAATTGATTTTATGTAGTGCCCCCCTCCCCTACTCCCCAAAAAATCGTGGTATCCACTCCTGACAAACTCCAGGCTTGTCACCTTGAAATTTAGCAATTCTTGGTATGTGAAATTGTACAATTGTACATAGAATAATTTTGATTTGATACAAAATGTATTATTTAAGGAATCACTGTCTAGTTAGAAGAGTATGCCAGGGCATCAACGATAGTTGGAAACGTGGGATAATTTGCATAATCCCATGTTTCCAACTATCGTTGATGTTCCTGGCATACTCTACTAACTAGACAGTGATTCCTTATATTTCCATTTCATAGTGAAATAAAATTGTAAATTTAGATTTTAAAAATGTAGACTAATAGATTTAAATTACACGAGGCCTCACATGTCAATTTCAATAGACCCCGCCCACTGACGTCATACACAAAGACAGAAGCACGAGATTTATATGCATATTAGGCCTCCTTAGCGTCAGACACAAAGACAGCCGAAATGAGAATTACATGCATATTAGGCCTTCTTAGCTCCTGACCTTTTGCTTGGCGAAATTTACATTCCGATAGAATGATCAAGAAATCAACCCTCCTAACTTTCAAAGGGTTATCACAGAGAAAACAAATAGAAATGGAAATATTAAGGCATATCTTCTAGTATTTTAATATTCTTTCTTACAGAGTAAAGATATCTTTGTTTTGCATTTTCCTAAGGGATTGAAATTATACAATTCTGTTTATGACTGACAAAGTTTCATTAATCACTCAGTTTTTTTTTTATACTTGTCTTTCCATGAATTTACTTGGAACCAGCAATAGTGAACATGCAAAGAAAAACAATTAGCACCAGTGTGTGCACTTTGCACCATTTACTTTAAAAGAAACTTGAAACAATTTTTAAAGGACACATAAACTTTAAAGTTGGGCCTTGCAAAGACAATTCTTAGGTGTAATAATTGCATGTACGTATTAAATTATGTTTGAGATCTACAATACTGTTTGTTAAATTCTTAATTAAAAGGCAAAGTTTATCAATATTCATCACATTAAAAGCGTAAAAATATTAAAAAGCAGTAAGGGAAACTAGCAGCACCGTGAAGCAAAATATTCAAGAAGTCTTAATCAAATGTAGATACTTAAAATTGAAAGCACAAATTTTACCAAAATCCATAGCATCAAAACGTATAACTTTTCAACACTTTATACATGTACGTGCAACCATTCCTTGTGATAATTGTTGGTTCAACGTGCAGTTATTATAGAGTTATTAGT